CAACGGGGCTATGACTGCAGTGGGGTTTTCATAGCAATCCCTTTCCTTCTTAATAAACAGTCCTCCCCTAACACAGCTCATTGTATCCTGCTGGGACATCTGCATTTGGGTAAGAAAGCAGTTGCTTCACAGTGGAGCTGAGAAAGCTTCTCCATTATCTGTGACAGTCTAAGAAAGTAGTGGCTCCCACCAAGGCTGTGAACCCCTGGGCTCTGAGAAGTTATTGAAGGAATGGGAAGCCCAAGTGCTTAGCTGACATAATTTGTAGCCCAGAGTTATTAAGCCAGGGTCCTTTGACTCCTCAGCAAACCTGGAGTCACATGCAAAGTTTTATGTGGTGCCTTTTCTTGTAGAGGGAGGGGTCCATCCCATATCTCTTGTCAGAGTCTCCAAGAGGTCTGAGACCTTCCAAAAAGGTGAAGAATCATTCCTCTAGAAGAAGGGTTGGCAAATGGCCCGCAGCTCACATCCAGCATAATGCTAGCTTTTGTACAATCTATAAGCTAAGAATGAAAATTTTCTATCTTTAAATGGTTTTAAAAACTCAAAAGAATATTTTATGATATGAAAATTATATGGGGTTCAAATTTGTGTCCATAAATAGTGTTATTGGGACACAGAACTCTCATTCATTTGTATATTGTCATGCCTATTATTGCACTACAAGAACAGAGATATAGCCCAGGTGGTGTGGCTCAGTGGTTGAGCGTTGACTTGTGAACAACGAGGTCATGCTTCGATTCCTGGCCAGGGCACATGCCTGGGTTGCGGGCTTGATCCCGGGTGTGGGTCATTCAGGAGGCAGCTGACGAATGATTCTCTCTCATCACTGATGTTTCTATCTGTCTCTCTCCCTTCCTCTCAAAATCAATAAAAAAATATTTTTAAAAAAGAGCAGAGATAGTGGCAACAGAAATGCAAAATAGCCAAATATTTGCTATCATATGGCCCTTTTTCCAAAAAAGTTTTCTGACTAGACGGGACTAGATAGTGCATCTTATATTCCTCTATTTTTCATTTGTATGTGCATGCTATTATGATTGATAAAGTACAAATCATTTAAATATATTATTGATGTAGTGCACATTAATCATCGGAACCCTCTTACTGGATGTGGGGAATTCCCACCATGTGGGTCTTGCTGGAGAGCCAGCCTCCTTGTACAGAAGGCCAGAGACTTCTTTCTCCCACCTCCCTCGAAGCCAGGAAACGGAGATGTGACTTGGAATCAGCCCATGGAGACCCCATCTAGGGCTTTGAAGCTGGAGTGACTCACACAAAATGGTAAAGAGCGAGATCATTCTGGCAGTAGTGGAGGCCACAGCAGTTACATCTGACTTCCCAGAGCAGCAGGACCAGCAGGATGGCGGCGCCTGCAGCAGTGGCCTATTTATGGTTTGCATGCACATCAGTGGTCCCCTCACCAGACAGTCCCTAAAGTATGGTTTTGTCTTTAGTCCTGGCATGTAGCCTCCATGTCTACCTGGCCAGGACAAGCTCAGGCACTATGTGAGACTGAGTCGGCATCACGTACTAGCACTGCCTGCAGCAGAGAGGGGCTGAAAGCGGAAGTCAGTAAGGATGCACTCCAGACAATGGCCGATCCGCCTTGTATTCTCAGTGCCTAGGATAGTGCCTGGTGCTTGAAAAGTGCTCACTGAATACTTGTTGATGCGAGTACCGGTGAGTATGTGCATGAAATTGGCAGTGAAAGTACATGTATCAGGGTTTCATGAGAAGCGGATATAAAGACAGCTGTGCTCTTTGAACCATGTATATGGCTTCCTAAGTTTCCCAGGCCATCATGGCTTCAGTAATGAGAAATGGTCAGAACTTGGGGATTAGTGTAAATTTGACTCTGGGCTATGAGCCAGCCTATAAGCCCCCTCAGATAATGCCTTCATATCCTAGAAGGCAGCTGGTCAAAAAGCATGTGTGTATACACTGGGTGGGAAAACATTGAACAGCATGCACACCAGGTATACTCTCGCCCTGGGATCACAGACTGCCATGAAGCAAGAAACTTAATATTGGTGCCAAAAAACTTTTCTGGTGGGTTTGTAATTTAGAAAGGAGTGATTACAGTGATGACTAAAAATCAGCAATGTCTCATTACTTCTGGATTTATCTATGTGTGGTAGGTGACCGATTTTTAAAGATCTGGAAGAGAGCGGCCAAGATGGCTTAACAGGACTTCTGTAACCAGTGCGTGGCATAAGAATTAGTTTTACTTGTGTCCCCCACCATCATTTGCAACTTTGTTGAGAAGACATGATTTTCCTCTGCCAAGGGGTGACGATGTAGGCAGCAGAGGATTTCCGTCTGTCTTCCTGTCACATTTAATCAGATAATCTCATTGTATTAAAGTATCTAGTCACACCTAACTGTGGGACGCCGCCTATTGTCTTCACTAGCAGAGAGGTGTGGACAAGGAGCCCGGAATGCTGGTGATCCTTGAGCCCTGGCAAAGGTCAGAGCTATGCACCCACTGTTTAGTGGAGACAGTGGTAGCTTAAGTAACTTCCCGACCAGATAGTCATGTAAATCCTTACTGATCAGATCATCTGCCTGTTACTGGAAATTGCCTGCCTAAAGGCTATATGTGTATCCCAAGCTGAATAGAAGGATGGCAAGGCCTGAGCACAAGCGGAGTCCTCCCTCTTGCATTGGGCTCCCGGCTGCCCCCCCCCCCATTTCCAAATTATTATTTCTTGTCTCGTCTCTGTCATTTGTGCGCGCTCCCTCTTCCAGAGCTGGAACCCTGAACCACAAGGGATGTGGGTCATTCACATCTAACAGTCAAAACTACAAACTTGGCATTAACTCTTGCTAATTTGAGCTTGCTTCAGGCCTGAAACTCACAGCAGAGCAATGGGATGGAGTCCTGTGCTTTCTCTTCTTTCCTCCTCTTCAACTCCCCCACATGCTAGCTGTTCTACCACTGCCTCAGAAGCTGAGGGAGAAACACAAGAGAGAACACAGCTTTTACTTACCTGGTTGGCTCTGTGCTCTCTGGCCTGCCTGGCGATGAGAGCTGGCTTTCTCTTAGGATGACACTTGCATGAGTTTGCCAGAGGTTCCTGCTGTGCAACCTTCACCCTGGCAGATGCATCTCCACCCTCGCTGTTCACTTGCTGTTTTCTCCTGTCCTTAGGCACCAGGCAGTCCCTTTCTGCTGAGGTCTCCTTGGCTCTGCTGGTGGCCCGTTGGACCATGTCCAATATGACCCCACCGATGGTCCATGGGAAAAATTCATGCATCCTTGGCCACGAGAAAAAAACTGTCATCGAAGTAGCTTTGCCTTTCTCTCGGCCCTTGATTTCCTAGCCGAGTGACATACCAGCTTTCAGCCCACTTCTGCTTTCTTTCCCAGTCCTGGGCCAGGCACCAGTTTTCCGGGTGTCCTGACTGCAGAGAACACATTTCCAAACTCTCTGAGTTGGCCCCTTGAAATCTTCCTCAGCTTATAATAGTGGGTGTCACTTCCCTACTCTTCTGCCAAAATGGGGGTTGGAACTCACAGCAACAACTTTATCCAAAAAATCTTTTTATCCATCTTACCAAATCCTCTGTTCTCTCAAAACTTGTATTCTTGAAGTAGATTAAAGGGCTCAAGAGCCATGAAACAAGTTCTCCTGTTTTCCCTTAGGATCCTCAAATTTGAGGCAGAAGAGTTCCATTTTAATAACTTGTATGTTAATTACTTACTGCTGTAAAATAAATTACCCCCAAACTTAGTGGTGTAAACAATAAATATTTATTATTGTCCACAGCTTCTCTGGACCAGGAATTCAGGAATTAGGTAGTTCTGGCTCAGAGTCTTGTGAGATTCCAGTCATGGTATCAGCCTGACAAGGGCTAGGGCAGGGGTGGGCAAACTTTTTGACTCGAGGGCCACAATGGGTTCTTAAACTGGACCGGAGGGCCGGAACAAAAGCATGGATGGAGTGTTTGTGTGAACTAATACAAATTCAAAGTAAACATCATTACATAAAAGGGTATGGTCTTTTTTTTTTTTAGTTTTATTCAAACGGGCTGGATCCAGCCCACCGGCCGTAGTTTGCCCACGGCTGGGCTAGAGGGTCTGTTCCAATGTGGTTCACTCACCTGGTTTGCAAGTCGGTGCTGGTTGTGAGTGGAGACCTCAATTCCTCTCTCCTGGAATTCTCCACAGGCTGCTCCAGTGTTCTCAGGGCATAGCGGCTAGATTCCCGCAGAACAAGCAACAAGGCGAAAGCAGCACCTTTTATGATCTAACCTCAGAAGTCATATACTGTCACCTCTGATTGTTTAGTCATGTCAACCAGCTCTGATTCACCATGGAAAGAAACTACACAAGGCATGAATACCAGGAATCTAAGATCACTGGGGACCAACTTGGAGACTGCTTGCCAAACCCTGTTACACTTAAAATGACCATTACACCCTAAAACAAACTGAACAAAGTAAACGAGAGACCATAAATTTAAATTGTTTTAATCAAAACTGCTTTGGAGTCCTTGCTGGGTGGCTCAGCTGGTTGGAGTGTCCACGCGTGTACCCAAAAGATCTCAGGTTTGATTACTAATCAGGACCCACACCAAGGTTTCAGGTTCGATCCCCAGTATGGGAGGCAACCAATCAATGTTTCTCTCTCATTGATGTTTCTCTATCTCTCTCTCTCTTACTCTCTCTATAATTAATAAACATATTTATTATATCTATATTAATAAACATATCCTCAGGTGAGGATAAAACACACACACACACACACACACCTGCTTTGGGGAATTCTTGATCTTCAAAATTTTATCTGCCACCTGGCGCTCCACATTTGTTCCTCATCTAAATGGGTCCAGGACTCTCCTTGAAGAAAGGCAGGACCCCAGCCTGATCTTAAGGTTTCATTTTGGCTTTCAGATCTCTAACTCTACATCATAATCAGAAAAATAAACCGTTGTAAATATCTTACAGTCGACATTTACACTGAATTTAAAATTTAATAAAAACATTCTAAGGTGTGTCATTGAAAGAATCATCTCTGCTTTATTTATTTTACAGAGTAAAGATTTAAATTGAATACATTTGGACACGGTAAATATTTGACATGAAAAGCAGTTGTATCAGAATAGGCATCAGAAAAATAGCAACTTATCTTACACATAATAACTAGAAAATATTTTTCTGTCTGATCATTTAAGTGTTACAAATCCTGAGAATGTTATACAATGAACAAACTAGGTACTACCATATCTTGCTTGGAAATCATCTTTTAAAAAAATGCTTTGAGGTATAAATCACCTATGTATTAAACATGAGTCTTTTACATTTTACAAGGAGTTTAAACAGACATATCAAACAAGTTCAGTGGCTCTTAAAACAGCTATCAGTCAGGTTCAAGGACACACTGTTCCACGATTTCCCGTAAGTTGGGGTTCTCCATTGCAGCTGCCACTCGCTCTTTGTCATTTATCTGCTTGTTGACTGCAAAACACACAGACAAAAGTTAGCAGAACTGTGTCAATATGTGGCAACAGACAGTATTTTTCTTAGGCTGTTAAAAGAGAATTTAACTCCCTGAGAACTTAAAACTGATTTTAGCTAATTATTCAGAAGTTCTGGAAGGGAGATTTAAAGAGAAAAATTTCCCCTATAAGCCTACTATTCTACCACAACTATTTTCATTTCTTTCTTTCCAGTCTTTGTCCATATTCATACTGCCAGATGTTACACTCAGGGAAAATACAATTTTTTTTCTTAAAATATGGAACGCTTCACAAATTTGCATGTCATCCTTGCGCAGGGGCCATGCTAATCTTCTCTGTACGGTTCCAATTTTAGTTCATGTGCTGCCAAAGCGAGCACAGAGTAAACACAATTTTGAAAGTTGCTCTTTTTTCCCTCCTTAAGTCTATTTTTTTTTAAGCTACAGGGTTATTTAATACAGCAAAAATTGTTAAGTGTTCTAAATTAATTATGAAGAAAAAATGAATCTATACTAATAAAAGGCAGGGGGGGGGCGTTGGGGGCAATCAGGCCGGCAGGGAGTGGCAGTTGCAAGCAAACAGGCTGGCAAGGGAAAGCCATGGTGGCAGGGCCAAGGCAGAGGCAGGATAGGGGTGATCAGGCTGGTGGGGGGAGAGGGGGAGGCAGCTGGGGCCATCGATTCCCAGTGGGGGTCATAGAGGGGATAGCCGATCAATGATTCTCTCTTCTAATTGATGTTTCTGTCTCTCTCTCTCCCTCTCCCTTCCTCTCTGAAATCAATCTATACTAATAAAAAGTCAATATGCTAATTCGACCAGATGTCTTCTGGGCATCCTTCCAGACAAAGCCACGGTGGCAAGGGCCGAGGCAGAGGTGGTTAGGGGCAATCAGGCCGGCAGAAGGGGGACAGTTGGGGGAGATCAGGCCGGCAGGGGGGTGCAGTTGGGGGCCACAGGGATCGGGTCTAAACCGGCAGTCAGACATCCCCCAAGGGGTCCCAGATTGGAGAGGGTGCAGGCTGGGCTGAGGGACATCCGCCCCCCCCACATGAATTCTGTGCACCGGGCCACTAGTCTTAACACTATGCTACAACAAGCACTTTTAAACACATAGCCTTTTTTTTTGGAAAGATTCTTCAAAGTGGGATTATCAGATCCAAAAACATGAGCATTTTTATGGTTTGAATGATATAACTGAATTACTTCCCAGTATTTTTTTTTACCGATTTGTATTCTCAACAGCAATACATGAGCTATCAGTGTGCCAGAAATACCCAGTATATTAAAAGACAAACAAAAACCAGCCCTGGCCAGGTGGCTCAGTTGGTTGGAGTATTGTCCTGTACGCCAAAAGGTTGTGGGTTTGATTCCCATTCAAGGCACATAACTAGGTTGTGGGTTTGATTCCTGGTTGGGCATATACAAGAGGCAACTTTTATATATATATATATATAAATAACATATATATGTAACAGGTAAAAATATATATAATAAAAATTATATATCCTATCTAATAATAGACACGCATGGTAATTGACTGTACCTTCGCTACGCCTCCCATTGGCTAATCAGCATGATATGCAAATTAACTGCCAACAAAGATGGTGGCTAATTTGCATAATGCAGGCAGGGTGGGCCAGCGTGAGCCACCATCCAGGCCCCATGTGCCGCCTAAGCCCCACCCCCAGCCGGGACCCCCGTGAGCGGCCCTGGGCAGCGGGGCTTAGTAGCGCAATCGGCTCAAGGAAGCCCTATTCTTGCAGGAATCCTCCTGCAACGGGCTTCTAGTATATATATAAAACAGGTGAAAAATAGTCCCAATGACTGTAATTTGCAATTTCTTGATTAATAGTGGGATAACATTCTCCCATGTGTATTTATTAGCTCTTCTTATGTGAATGTTCTGTTTATGTCTCTATTAATCTACTGGATCTTTTATATATTTTTATTGATTTCAGAGAGGAAGGGAGAGAGTTAGAGATAGAAACATCAATATGAGAGAGAATCATTGATTGGCTGCCTCTTGCACACTCCACACTGGGGATCAAGCTCACAACCTGGGCATGTGCCCTGACCAGGAATCAAACTGTGACCTCCTGGTTCATAGGTGGATGCTCAACCACTGAGCCACACCAGCTGGGCTGGATCTTTCCTTTTTTAAACTAGTCTGCATGGATCTTCATATCATAACGGTTATTGGTCCACATTGGTTGTCTATAATTTGCTAAAAATAATCCTGATGGAATAGTCCAATATACTTAGTGATAAGTATATTCTTTACTATATTCTTTATTATTTTTCATCTTCACCCGAGTATGTTTATTGATTTTTGAGAGAGAGAGAGAGAGAGAGAAACATCAATATGAGAAACATGGATTGGTTGCCTCCCATCAGCGCCCCAACCTGGGAATGAACCACAACATCGGTAAGTGACCTGGTTGGGAATCAAACCCGCAACCTATTTGGTGCAAGGAACAACACTCCAACCAACTGAACTGGGGGTAGGGTTATCCATATTCTTTGTAAAGATTTTTATTTATGTATGTATGTATTTATTTATTTTTAGAGAGAGAGGAAAGGAGAGGGACAGAGAAACATCAATGTGAGAGGGAACACTGATGGGGTGCCTACTCCACACCCTCTACCAAGGATCAAGCCCACAACCTGGGCATGTGCCTTAATCAGAAATCAAACTAGAAACCTTTCAGTGCATGGGATGATGCCCACCAACTGAGCCACACACCAGGGCGAGATGTCTATATTCTTAATGTGGGCTAACTTTTCTGGGATCCTGCTAAAATGTCACATGTAGAAAACTTATATATTCCCATATAAGCTATTTCAATTCTGTTTCTTCCTACAATGTGGACTCCACAAGAGCAAGGATGTATCTCAAAGGTCAAACTGTGCCTACATAAAGAAAGCACTCAATAAATACTTCTAAAAAAGCTTAATACTATCCTATTATAAAATCTCATAATGAAGAGGAATTTCAAAGACATAACAAGAGTGGATTTAGGGAATCTAAACTCTTTTATATTTTAAATTAAGAGGTAGAAGCCATCAGCTTATGGGATTTGAATAAATTTAATACATGAGGAGTAAAATAATCTACAGGTCCCAAACTGTGAAAATAGGAGATGGTTTTAGCAGTTTTCATGACAGTACCTAAAAAGTTTCCTGAATGGGCTGGTTCTCTGAAAGCAGTGGGCTTCCTTCCCTCTCTGCACCTCTCTTCTGTGTTCGTTTTTTGTGTGCATCTCTTCCTGTGTATGTTTTTTAAGTCACTGTCTTCCGATGTCTGTCTGTCTTAGTGTTGCTCTTACTCTATTACTGTCCCTTTCTTCCCCTCCTCTGCTGTTTTCCAACTTCTCAATTTACTTAGTGATAAAAGCTAAGCACAACATGTATTTTACTTTTTTTAAAATATATTTTTATTGATTTTTTACAGAGAGGAAGGGAAAGGGATAGAGTTAGAAACACCAATGAGAGAGAAACATCAATCAGCTGCCTCTGGCACGCCCCCTACTGGGGATCAAGCCTGCAACCAAGGTATATGCCCTTGACCAGAATCAAACCCGGGACCCTTCAGTCCACGGGCCAACACTCTTATCCACCGAGCCAAACTGGTTAGGGCAGTGGTCTGCAAACTGCGGCTCGCGAGCCACATGCGGCTCTTTGGCCCCGTGAGTGTGGCTCTTCCACAAAATACCACGTGCGGGCGCACACGTACAGTGCGATTGAAACTTCGTGGCCCATGCGCAGAAGCTGGTATTTTGTAGATGCGTCACACTCAAGGGGCCAAAGCGCCACATGTGGTGGCGAGCCGCAGTTTGCCGAGCTGCAGTTTGCTGACCACTGGGTTAGGGCAACATGCATTTTAAATGTATTTTTCATTATTTGCACTCTATTGGTTATAGATAAAATTCTGTTCTCTGGAGGATTTTTTTTTAATGTTTTTTGTTTTGTTTTTGTTTTTTTTAGACAGAGTAGAAAGGAGAGAGGGAGTGGCAAGGGGTCGGGGAGAGGGAGAGAGAGAGAAACAGAAATATGGATTTGAGAGAGACTCATGGATTGGTTGCCACCCACATGCACCCCAACTTGGGACCTGCAACCCAGGTATGTGCCCTTGACCAAGAATCGAACCCATAATCCCTGTGCATGTGGGCTGATGCTGCAACCTCTGAGCCACATCAGCCAGGGCTGTTGTCTGTTTTTAACGTAATACATAGGTTATACAGAACTTTTTGTCTTTTGCTTTTTCCAAACCCCAACTCTGGTATTTTTTAGTAGTTACTGATAGACTTCTCTCTGTAGGCCACAGGTCCTCTATAGAAAAAAAGTTCCCTACTCCCATTTCATTTTATTATTATTATTCTAATCCTCACCTGAGGAAGTTTTTATTGATTTTTTTAGAGAGAGAGGAGGGGCAAGAAAGAGAGAGAGAAATATTGACGTGAGAGAGAAACACTGATCGGTTGGTTGCCTCCTGTATGCACTCCGACCGCCGATTGAACCTGCAACCTAGGTATGTGCCCTGACCAGGAATCAAGCCAGCAACATCTTGGTGCATGCTCCTACCAACTAAGCCACCTGGCCAGGGCCCCACTCCCACTTTAATACATTAACCCAGAAAGATAGAACCTACTCCAAGATTCCCTAAAGCTTTACTCGCTAGACCTTCAATTTCAAGTACACAGCTCTTGATCCTGCCACCAAAGAAAAGAATCAGTACTCTTTAGAGGTTGTAAGTCAAGTTTCCTAGAGCTGGATGTTCTTTACAGATGTGTAACCACTGGCCTAAACCAGTCAATATCCACAGGGCCTACCTCTAATTCATCCAGAGTCCTACTGAAAAAAATTACGTTCATAAAAATGTCTATGTTTCCACACCTCAAGAAAGAGCTACTAACTGATTTTTCACTTTTTTGCAAAAGACCCAATAGATACTTGGCTGGCAGAATAGCCTGGTATTCCAGATAAAGTACTTTTTGAAGT